TTTTTAAAAGTTGAGGGACTTAAAAGAAAGGAAATTAGGATAAGGATCAACCACTTTCCTTTTTCTTTTTCTTCTTTCTTTCTTTCTTTCTTTCCTCCCTCATCAGACCCGCGTTTCTGCTCTTCTTCTTTTCTTCTCCCCTGCAACCCGAGAAAGAGCCCCAGCCACGGTCACCCATTTCCGGCCAGAAATCCGGCAAAGCTTGGGGATTTCTCCCTATTTTCTTGTCTTAGAACACCTGTTGAACCTAGAAAATCCCAGATCTGCGTCTTCCTCCCTCTGCTGTCCGTCGGCTTCAACTTGTGGGTTTGGAATTTCTGGGCGTTTTTCGGTAAGACAGCCCTGAATCTCCCTTTTCTCTCTTGATTTAGGCTTGGGTTTACCTCGAATTGTGTTTTGGTTTTTGGATTGGGTAGCCCGTGAGTTCCCCTGCAGAATTTCTTCTTCTTTGCCGCCGGCTTTTCCCCCTTGCTAGGCTCGGTTTTGCTTGCTAAATTTTGGTAAGTTGCCGGCTTTTCCAAGCTTAAAATTACCCATTTAATTGCTGGGTTTTGTCCATTAGTTGATGCTCTATGTTGTCCGAATCTATTGGGATAGGGGATGAATTTGGCAGCCATTTTAAATGTGTTTTGTGCTTGGTTTATGTAGAATTAGCTTAATTAGGCTGTTGTGATTGTTTGGAGAGAAAATCCCGTGAGTTAGCTAGTGTTTTGGCTAATGTTTGGAAGTGGCAGTACTGTTCACGGCGTGAGCACTGTTCACGGGTACTGTTCACTGGGTACTGTTCACACACCGAGGGTTAACGATTAACGGGATTTAAAGGATTAGTTTGTGACATAAGAATAAAATTGGAGATGTCCAATTATGTGGAGATTGATAGAAATAGCACTGATTGGGGGTAGTGTTGATGATGATTTCAGTTTGAATTTATGGTAGTGCGATATTAATTCTTGGAATATTGTGATTAGGTTTTGATCGTTCTGTCACCGTAGCACTTGGGTTAGCCTTCTGTTCTGTGCGAGTGAGGTAAGTAAAATTATGGTAAAGCCCTTCGATTTTAAAGCATGTTTTCAACTGTTTTTGAGATGGTGGCAAGGTTTAAATTGATTTTATCGGCATTTGAGTGTGATTAAACTGGAATGCAAATTGTGATGGGTTTTATGGGAAATTTCTTTGTTTTTCTGAAAATGAGGATTTTATTGATTTTCTGGAAGTGAGCATGATTGGAAATGAAAAAGTGAGAATTTCATGGTTTTTCTGGAGTTATTGTGCCGAGCATGATTGGTTTGAAATTAAGTGGAGCATGCCTATTTGGAACTGATTGAACTGTTTTGATTAACTGAGAGTTTTGTAAATTATGATTTTCTGTTAAATCCATGCCCACATGGAATGTTCTGGTTATTTATGAAATTATGGATTTCGATCGTGAATTTGGGACTTCGATTGTGAAATTACGGATTTTGATTGTGAATCCTGCATGGTTTTGTCTCTGATATAGTCATGATTTCCGATCCCCGCTAGTGGGTGTGTAACACTTCCGATCCCCGCTAGTGGGTGTAACGCTGGCACTTCCGATCCTCGCTAGTGGGTGTGTAACACTTCCGATCCCCGCTAGTGAGTGTAATGCTAGCACTTCCGATCCCCGCTAGTGGGTGTGTAGCACTTTCGATCCCCACTAGTGGGTGTAACGCTAGCACATGTCGACATGTTTACTGATGTGACCGGTTCATTCTGACGCTTGCCTCTGGGCGAATACATTGGCAAATTTCTGTCGCCTACCAGTGGGTTGTTATAACACTGGCCATGACTTATAGATGAGACTACTGAACTGAGTTTTCTTCAGCATTAACGGTTTGTTATGAGATGTTTTGTTATTGAACTGAATCTGATTCTGCAGTAATGGTTTTGTCATTGAACGTTTTGCTATTGAACTGAACTTGATTTTCGCATTAACGGTTTATCAGTGAAAGTTTTGCTACGTTTACATGGTTTATCTGGCATGTTAAAAGTTTTACCCAAGGGCTATCCATATTTACTTACTGAGTTTATCTCATAGTTTTCCTTGTCCACCATTTCAGGAAGTGAAACCGAGGACGGGGAAACCACGGGAAGTGACGAGTTAGAAGGCTAGCCATTTCGAGATTGAGCATAGATTTAGAAATAAATCATGATCTTGTATTTGGAGACTTTATTGGAGATTTACGGTATTAGAGCAAATTATAAATTTTGATCTTGAGATTTTGATGGTATTAGTTCGTGATTTGAATAAGTTTCGAGCCTTGTGCATTTGTGGGACCCGTCTCACGAGTGCACGGCGTCTGTCGCGTCTCGGATTTGGGTTTTGGGGCGTGACA